AAATAATTAAATGCGATTTACTCCGGTCCGTATGAACGCGCTTCTCGCGTCGCGATCAATTTTTCACGGGGATTTTCTAACACACCCCCGCGTCTATTCGTCTTTCGCCGGTCCGTCCGCCATTCCTCGTTACTGAACATCGAGCGGCACGCTATACGACCGCACTCGGTGTCTCCGGATTCTCTCCGATCCTAATATTGAATTTGACGTCGACTTTTCCGGAATAAAAATATCGAGGCGAATTTCCGGGGTGTAAGTGATGAAAAGCACTCGGCTCACCTCGGGAAATCCGCCTGTATAAAAAAAAAAAAAAAAGATAAGCTCCAGCAGCTAAATTAGTGGTAATATGGACACCTAAAACTTTAGCAACGTAAGCAATTTTAATCGCTGCAGTAGCGAACTCTTTAGCTGATGTCCATGTCATAACTGATTTAGCTATTACAACTAATCTTTTCCTCGCGTACGCGACGACTGGACGGCGAATTCGAATTGGCGTGTTTCATCACGAGTACGACCATTTTTCCGGACGATCATCCGCTCCCCTCCTCTTCTCGAAACCTCGCCTGCGAGAAGAAAGAATTGAACTCGGAGGCTATCGGGGAATCCGAGCAGTCTCACGACACTCACTCTCTATATCGATCAGCTGCCGTCGATGCTGCGTATCTCGCCCCTTATCCGATGACGTCGCCTTGAACGAACGTCACGTTTGAGAGAGAAAGAGAACTCGGTCAGTAGCGGGGCCGCGATCGGATGTCAATGGCGATTTTTCCGGCCGGTGATATACGGGAAGCGAGAGCTCGATATTCCGGACGCGAGAGCGGGGCCGACGGAGAGGCTTTCCCGCATAATGGCGAACCGGCGGGCGTTCAATTAAGCAGCGGTCCGGGCACTCTTCCGAGATCTAAAGTCGCGGTAACGAGCAACGAGAGATTCGACGGGATTTCACGGACGACGGAAAGAGTCCTGACACGGGACACGTTATCGGTGAACGTCATAACTGGGGTAATAAGTGCGCGAGTCCCGGTCGACGGTTAATAATCTAACCGAAGTAGATTTACCGGCGTAAAGTGAGAAAGCGCTCGGGTAACGTCATTAACATCGACGTATGCATGATTCAAAGGGACGATCAGTCCCCGTGTCGCCCGGTATCGCGGAGCGTTAACACGCTGATCAGCATTCAAAACAGCATTCCGCTAAGCCGCAGTTTCGAGACAATATCATTAACATCGACTTTACACCGCACGCTCGTACAGCGCGCGGCTGTGCCGCGACTAATAAGCGGCGCGGTTGTTTTATATCGAGTATCGCTCGGCGCGCCGGTTTCCGCGCGCACCCAAAGAGCGCTTTCGAAATAACGCGCGTAAATCGAAGCGCGTTCCTCATGACCTCGCGCGCGCGCGAGTCTTTTGCGCGAAGCGTCAGGCATCCGGTGAAATTTTCGAGCGCTTTAGGGCGTGCACGCGCGGCCCTTCGCTCCCGCCGGCTCCCACTCGAGCTGATTTTAAATCCAACTCTTCAAATGCATCGCAGCGTTTAACGCCGGCCGGCCGGTCGTGCATCTCGTCCAACTCGCGCCGCGAGTTTTACTATATCCCCGCAAACGCCGGCTACTGACGTGCAGTGGAGGTGCAGGTGACACGTGTACGGCGGCGATAGTGGCGGCGGCGGTGGCGGTGGCGGCTAGCCACCGCGATGCAACGCCCTTGTGTGTGTGTGTGTACACGCGGAGAGAGCGAATCCCATCGAGCGCACAATCGGACACCTGTGCGGTCGCACAGAAAATGACTGTAATTCGAGTCATTATTCTTGTTCTAAAAAAGGAGCCGGCGGTCGAGACCGTCCCGACTTCCGGTTGCGGCGAGCTTTCCGCTCCGCTGCTCGATCGTGCGCCACGGACAGGATGAATTGGAGATCGATGCTTTTTCACGACGGGGCTTTCCGGGGGATTAGGTGGTTTCTGCTGACTGGAACTCGAGATCCCAGAGCGATAACGAAGGATCGAATGTATCTGGGTCGCCGGTGTAACGCGACTGGCCCCGCCGATGAACGACTCGAGGGTGTAAGCGATAAGGAAGTTTATCGTCGCCTCATCTTCGCCGAGTGTATAATCCCCGCGATGTTGTCCCGCGAGATAAAACCGCCGTCGCTTTTTATTTGCATCGCAAATCGACAGAGTTCCTCGCCCCACGGCGGCCCAAATTGTCATCGTCGTTGAAATCGAATTACGCGCGATGAAATTGCGAGGTTGAATTACCCCCGGCCCGGAAAATATTTACAGCCGGGGGCGCGACGCGCCGAATTATTTTGCCGTTGTTATTTAAAATAAATAATTCGGTATTTAATCAACCCGATGAACGCGATAATTGGGGAATAAATCGCATAAATTGTCGCAGAAATGAGTAGCGCGGCGAATTACAAATCGCGTCTTGCGGCACGTTTTTTCGTGCGATTAATTAGGCGGAAGAATTTAGTAGCGCGTACGCACCACCCGCGCGCATTCGTTGCAAGGTTTCCGCGAGGGATTCCATTATCTCGACAAAACCTTTCGCGCTGAACCGTNCCCCCCCCCCCCCGAGCTTTCGAGCAGTTTCCAATATCCCACGCTAATCTCGCGTGATTTTTTATCCACGCTTAAAGATTGGCTTCGCAAAGGGTTAATCGCCACTATTAACCGTAACCTTAAGCCCGTGGGCTTAACCCCCAACCTGTCTCCGAACGTTGCCACGGCGCTTCTCTTTAATGTCGGAAGTCTTGCCAAGACTCGGATAACGAAGGAGCGCGGTTAAGCGGCGAAAAAGCAGCTTAACCTCCTCGCTTCTCGGCCATTTATTTCTTGATGACGCTCGCAACCGCGATCGAACGATAACTTTCGTCGCCCGGCGCGGCGATAAGAAGCGACACTAAACAAAAGGGAAGACTAGATAACGGAATGCCGCGGAGCGACGAAGGGGGGGTTCTAGGAGAGCAGCGACTGAAAATCGTCGCTTTTCTTCAACGCGCCGTCGTCATCATTATCGTCGTTCTCGTCGTCGCGTGCGTGACTTCTTTTAGCGCGTTGCGAAATTGAACCGACGAAAATAGCGTCTCCGCCGGTTACTTCCCGCTTTCGTGTCGCGGATAAATCGCCCGCGAAGCGGCTATAAAGAATGCAACGCATCGTACATCAGCACAACTCGCTCCTAAGAAGCAGGGGTAAAAAAGGAAATAGAAGAGAAAAAAAAAGGCGGTAGAACGCACGGATGATATCAAGCTAGCTATCGCGCGCTGATCGATACCGGAGCGGTCAAGATACCGGGAGAAAGAGGGAGAAAGGGAGGGAGGGAGAGAGAGAGCGCGTCCGGGAAGCTCGGAAGGAGCCGCGATAAATCTGTTTCTACGCAGAGATCATCGAAATTCCGCGGGCGTAGGGCGCAAGGGAGCCACGCACAGAGAGAGAGAGAGAGGAGACGAGAGGAATCGAAAGCAGATGGGGATTGACTGGCTCGTGTCTTCGGGGCTTCCGCGCAAAGGGCGCCGTCGGACCCTTCGACGAGAGTAGCACAAAGGGTCTTATGTGCACTCTCTCACGTACGCACGCACCAACGTCGAGAGTCACGCGCAGGCAGATACACAAACACACGTACACACGGACGCGTACACATGCGCACGCCGCGAAACAGTGCGAGTGCCACGGACAAGCCGAGTAGAGAGCGGTAGCTATTGTTACGGGTATTATTTGCCACTAATCAGAATGGGCGGTCGACTCGCGGCGGCTGTGTAAGTTTTACGCACGTACGTGTGTGTGCGTGTGCCGATGTGTGCGGGCGCGTGAGTACGTGGCGATGTGTACACAGAGAGGAGAGGCGCGTGTTACGTGTAATTCTCCCCATTGCACACACCACCACCGCGAGACACACCAGCCTGATTGCAGACCTCGTCGTCGACGTCGTCGTCGACGTCGTCGTCACCACGCCCTGACCCACGAGATTTTCAAGATACCCGACACACGACCCACAAGCCCCGCACTTTATGCGAGGTCAACCAACTCGACCCTTCGCCGTTACGAGCGCGATATCGATACAACGGCGACGGCGATGCGCGGCGCAACGAAACTTTCTTAACCCGCGCGCGACGTTAACGGTACTTAAATACAGAGAAGGAAGAAAGTCCGGGAATGGCGTTTATTACCCGCCCTAGAACGAGTCATTCCTAAAAAAGATGCGCGTGGAAAAATAGGTGTCGCGCACGCACCCCGAAATCTGAGAAGTGGAAAGTAGCGAAATGCAACTTGCTTCGATGCGTCGGGGTGACTTTTTCCGCAAGGAAAAGTTGAGAAACGGAACGTTAGATAATTTTCCTCGGAAATGCGTGTAGCTGAGGAAATTGCCCGTGAACTTAATTTCCAACGATTTTCGCTCTCAAAAAATTAATTTCAAACGATTAATACGTAATATTTGATTTAAAATCATTATTCAAAGTCTTCGCCATATATAGTTTTAATGTTTTGGAAAAAAACTGTTTTTCCAAATTTTTCCATGAACTTTTTGGTTTCTTATCTTCATTACGGAAAAAGTAAATGTGGCAGGTTTTAACCGAACACACGTGAATTTTCTAAACAAATTTTTCTATCCTTAGGACAAAAATCGAAGAAATCCCTGAAAGGATAAGAACAGTTTTCTTCGAAATTTTAGACTATATTTCGCCAAATTTACCATCGAAGTTTTATAGTTGTGACAAAAGTGTCGAATATCGACTTTTGTGAAGTTGGCCTCATTTCTTCAAAAGATGAAAAAAGTCAACAGTTCTAGTTGCTCTCCGAAGAGTTTTAAAGCCTTTAATTGATTTTTTTCAAATTTTTAGAAATTTCACAAATTCGAATATTCACTAGAAAATCGGTTGTGAGAACGTCGTTAAAACATACGATAATATTTTTTACGTACGTCCCTTTTGCATCTTTTTATTGGCAGATACGCAATGCGATAAGAAAAACGGCCGAGAGAAAAATATTTGTATAGACTCACCAGTGAAAGAAGTGGGGACTCTGCGCCGCGTCGACGATGCTCCAGTGACTCGTGATTTTGCCGATGGCTCTTCTGCAACAACAAAATTCGCGATTAGCCCATGGATTGGTCGCCGCAGCCCATCGATTCGGTATTTAAACCTGGGTGTTTGCTCTCGACAATAATCGCTCGCGATGTATAGCTCGTGGTTGAGCTTAGAGAACGAGCTACGACTGAAAAACGTGGAATTCCACGAAATTCGCTCCTCGGAGATCAGAGAATTCTCGCTGGTGGTGCGCTCGCATCACGTATGAGAGATCGATTTTCGTACCCCGATGTCCTGGCATATCGCGATTTAACGGTCATTTTTAACTAGTATTTCTTTTTTTATAAAAACAATGTGAAATCTTAGAACGCAGTAACTTTTCGTTGCTGCGCGTTGTAAGCGAATACGCTTACGTTATACAGCTCTGTAAAACTCGACGAGGGTAGTCAACTGCGTTAAATTAAGATAAATTTAACTGAAATTCAAATTCAACTTTGTGTGTTGGATACCGAAATAAAATTAAAAATAAAACTACTTCAGAGACACTCGGAACTGGTTCTGCTAAATCGGAAAGTGTCGGAGTTATCAAATAGCAGATATTAATGTAAGCGGTATCAGAAAATGACTTTAAGTTGTGCTCCGTAATTTTCACGATTATTAAATAATTTTGCCAAGCAATTTAAAGAATTTCTTATTAATAAGCACTCAATATATAGTAACAGTGAGCAAAGAGAGAGAGAGAGATAGAGAGAGAGAGAATCTAGTTATATGGTGTGAATTCAGTTGACTCTTCGACGCGCAGCAACCGACTGACTTTCGGCAGACGACAAAATACATACACGTGCACATATATAAACATATATGTAGTTTGACCTACAAATGTCAACTGCATTCTATATACAGTGTGTATTTCGGTCATTGCATACATCACATTAGTATAATGTAACAGCACTGAATTAATAATACGAAATTAATTATATTAAAATATTTGAACTTTAATATTTGAGGACGACATACGTTGGCTGATAACTCGTAAATGGCTAATGATACCGAATATTTTGTATTTACCATCGTTTTTAATATTGATATATCAAAGTGCTTTTGTGGAAAACATTTTTGTGTCGCCAAAGCGACCATATACATCCTTATGTGTACTCAAATATAAATTAATCATTAGAGTCAAAGTCGTAATGATTCTCCGATTAATGTGATATTTAAAGCGGTACGTCGACTATCGAGGAAGACTCGTAAAGATCCACCGAACAGCAGAACCTCCTTACTGAATTTTTTCGAATGGCCCAATTTATTCGTGTGCGGGCGCTTATATTTATTTTGCTGTGTTATTTTTTTCCAATATCGCGCTAGGAAGACTCGAACAGCGCGAGACCGACTTGTCGCTAAGCTACCGCGAAATAAAAAGCCGCGCTCACTGCGTATCGACGATGCGTCGCCACGTACGCGAGACTTTAATAAGTAAACATCACGCAAAATGCATCGCGACATTTCCGCGAGATGCGCGAAGAGCAGCGATGCTTCCAGCGTGACGCGTCGCGTTACGGCGACACGACGTATTTTAAAAGTGACTGACACACTACTCTGGGCCCGTATAATATATTTACATATTAGCGGGACGCGCGGAGGGACGTGGCCCGAAATACACCGCGTATTCGTCCCGACGGCGGCGGCACTATTTCGGAAACCGGCGGAGAGAGCGGCGATTCCCCGATGATAACGCGGCGCATCGTTCGCGGTACGCCTTCAGTTTTCATTAAGCAAAACGCATCGTGAAAATTGGACACGTCATGGAAAGACCAAGTGACGGCCGATAATGAGACACTTGATCATCGTGTGACCGAGTGTGACGAGTTCGCGAATTAGTTCCGTCCGGATATTCGCGCGATCAATTGCGCTTTCTTTCGTCCCTCTTCCTCTTTTCCTTTCTTCACTTGGACCGATGCAGCGACGACGCGTCAGGAAGGATTATTCCGGGCATCGCGAATATATCGAGAAGGGACGATGGAATTTCCGTCGGCGGAATTCTTGCGCCAGCCGAGGAATTTCTGGGCTGAAGAAATCGGGAGAAGCCGGCACACGGCGACGCGCAGAGAGAGAGAGAGAGCAGCGAGGAGCAGCAGGTCGACGGGCGGAGTGATCCCGCGCACTCCGTCAAATCGACGGAAGTCGTTTCCAAGCTGCGCGGGAATTCGGAATAGTTCGGCGAAGAAACCGGCAAAACTGACACCACCCGCGAGCGGTATTTGCGAGCGGAATCGCTGCGGCTCGGCCGTTCGCGGTTTCCACACCGGGTAGTGCTGGAGGAGAAGCAGGCGGAGAGCCGGAAGTGCCATATCTCGAGGCGTGTACACACATACTGCATACACACGCCCGCCGGGGGTTAATTCGACAGTTGCCGACGTGGATGTCGAGAATGCTCTCTCTGTCGGATTCTATCCGAAGTATTCCGAGTATAGAACGCGCCGGCCGCAAACTGACCGCTAACCGGCGATTTTTGAGGAATCCGAAGGTGACTGACGCGCGCCGCCTCAGCGGCGATCGCTCGATATCGATCTCTCTGTCTGTTTCCTCCTTTCCCCGCCTCTCGCTCTCTCTGTACGGGATTTGGGGGGAGCAGACCCCTGCATCTGACCGCCAAATCGGAGCATCGGCGGATAATTCGCCAGCACATACGTACACGGCATGCACACACGCACACGAACGCGCGAAAATCGATGCCCGGCTATTCCGGCATCGACGCGTTTACGCGCTAATACTGAAACAGCTTAATGCTCGTTAATGCCGCCGGCTAAGACTTTTGCCTCTGAAAACCGGCAACGCATGGCGTCGCGAAATTTCCGTATTTTCTCGTCGCCTCTTCTCTCTCTCTCTCTCTTTCCCCTACAGTCGCTCATTAACGTATTTAGTTGCGTGATATTACTTCGCGACTTCGCCCTCTTAATACCGTAAAGCTAACGTACGGGCAGAACGCGGATTCTCCGTCGCACGTCGGATTTCAAACGCGACATTTTCCGCGCAGCGTAGAAAACACGGCGAGAGTTTAATTCGCACGAACGCGAGGAGAAGGGTATCGGATTCATTCATTCCTCCTCTCTCTCTCACACATACGCACGCACACACGCGCACACATTCTTTTTTCATGTCTCATTTTGGTTTCAGAAAAAAAAACGCGCGCACGGACGTCGTTTCGCGCGGTCTATGAGATTTTTTCGAAATTGCGAGCAAATTTCTGCAACACACCGCGCACTCGCTTGCGTCCACATTACGCGGACGGGAGCTTTATGATGCATGCCCGGTCTTAATTAAGCTCATATATCTTCCTGGATGCACCTCTTGAAAAATATTACTGAAGTTCGCCCCGGCGTGCGTCTATCATGCTTTAATGCCTGCTGTATGTTCCTCCTTTAACCCTTTGACGCATTTGGCGGCCACATGGTTCCCTCTCGGAATTTTTCACACGACGCGCGCAGCTTTAAATATATCGACGTATTAATGCAACGCCTCTCCCTCCCTCCCATCGGCCTTTTTCCAATTCCGAATCCGTCGGGAATCGTCGACGACCGTGTAAATGATAGGGGGCACGTGAAAGCCGCGAACAGCGAATATAGTTTGCGGGGGCACGAAAGAAAACGCGAGAGCGCCGAATTGCGCGTTCCCGTTGTAATTCGAGTGCGAAACTTCCTCCCCGAGACATGTATCTCGGTCTCTCCGAGATAACGTATAGTCGCGTCGTTTGTCACGGAATCTCGCGCTACGCACACGCCCACATCTTCTCTCGCGAACCCGTACGTTTCCGGTTACTGCGCGAAGACCGACTCCATCGCGGATCATTAAAGAATTTCCAACTACGGCCTTATGGCACACATATTTCTTAACGTGCGATTTAACTCTACTTGATAAACCCGGTGCAAACGTGTTCCACATCCTTCGTATGTACCATGACATTCTTCATGCCTGTAAATGCACCAGTTCCTTCTTTTCCTCTCCTCTCGCAGTCCCTTAGTATATTTTCACAAGGTAAGAAAATAAATACCGTTATTTATCAAATCAACAATATAAATCAATGTCTCGCTTGTTAATTTCTATATTAATTAGAAAAGCAGGAAATAAATGAGTTGTTTGAAAATCATGTCGAAATGGCAGAGGGAATTGATATTGATATTTCATATCAATCTCACGTTAACATTTCAGCAGAGAAATACCGAATCGAGTCTCTAAGCATGAAGAATGGCGGAAATACGTGAATTCACCCGCCACGCGAAACCGCAAAATAACATGAAAAACAACGTCGACGTATACGACTCCAAAATTCCGGCAGACGTGAAACGACGTGGAGCGAACGCGGCGTATCTGCTTATAATTCGAGTGTAAAATCGCAAAATAACGCGACGAGAAATTCCGATGCCGACAGCCCGAGAATTCGAGGATGACGGGAAAACCAAGTTTCCATAGGCTGTATATTTCATGTATAGGACGGAAAGTGCAGAACCGCAAAATAATAGAAGCCGCTCCTTCTCGCAGATGCGCGCGAGCCTCCCGAGCGTTTTCCTCGCTCTACCGAAGAAAAATGTCGACTGCTACCGGGGCCCCGCGAAGAGAGGGAGGAAGGGGAGGAAAGGGAATCCGCCGAGTTACCGGAAGTAACGCGCGAAGACGAACGAGCGTCGTCCGAATTCCGCGCGCCGTAAATCCGCGACGCCGGGCTGATTCGCGTCGTCAATAAGAGAAGAAGATCGTCGGGGTTCGGCGGGGTAAACAGAGTAGATACCGAGGTGAGCGAAGGGGAATGAACGGGGGGAGGAAGGAAAGGACCGAGAGGGAGAAAAGAAAGAGAGAGACAGCCATTGGACTTCCACGGGAATTCCGTAAGTCGTGCGTTCTCCTGCTGTAAATCGAGCCCGAAACCAGGCAGCAACAACGGCAGCGCGGACCGCCGAGAGATATCCAACCCCTCGGTGCTCTCGCGTGTATCTCGATACGTTACCCCTTTCCGGGGTAGTAGAAGAGAGCCCGCAGAGCTCGAGAGACGGGT